GGTTTCACTTGTCAGACTGTATTTTTATTGCCATTTGACATGCCTTATAAATTTTTGTTGAAAGCCAGACATACTATTTATGACAGCAGATACTGAGATAAGCACTTTTTGTGACTGGAGATGAGCACGGATTTGCTTAACTTAGGCCTTTAATATGAAGGTTTCTGTTAATCTAGTCAGAAGTTGAGCTGTGTTTGAAGTTTGTTGTTGCTATGGTTACCAGAGTTGGAGTTCATTGTCTATAACGGGCACCAGAGACTTTCGGTTCTTCTAGTGATACTTTATTTTTGTCTCTCTGATTAGCTTTGGATCCTTTCTTTGTACTGCTCACCAGAGAGAATTTGTCTCTTATGGCTATCTGGACAAATCCCCCAGTTATTTATTTACATGAACTGGCCATGTCGTGTTGGAAAGGAGGATGCCCTCTGGTTTTCTGACTGAGAGCCAGACCAGGACAGGTATACTGGGAACCTGGTTTCCAGGGGTGTGGCTTTCACGTGAGTTTCGGCTCTTCCTCCAGAGGTAGGCCCTCTTTTTGTCCCCAACCTCCCCTCCTCACCTGCAGCTGGTGCCCATCAGTGTCCTCAGGCTGTGGCTTGAACACCCTGTCCCCCCTGCAGATTGTGGCTTTGTTTTTTGTATTAATAACTTAGGGATGACAGAGATATGGGTGGTTGCCTCTATCCTGTCCCCTCCCAAGCTGCCACAAGATTCTACCAGAGCCCTGGCTACAGTCCTCCGTAACCTTTCCCTGAAGATTCAGCCTTTCGTAACATAGGGGAGAAGGGGGTGGGTGTGGGTGTATTTCACATTGGCTGCTGCTGTTTTCATCCCCTAACAAGTACTGCAGTTGGGAGGCGATGGGGGACTTTCATTGAATTCTACCCCGTCTTCCCTGTGAGATCCTGGAAGAAAGGTCCACAGAGGGTGAAAAAAACCCATAAATCCACTGCCCCCAATGGCTTCTCACCCTTGCTCTATCCCACACTCATTCTTTAGCAGTGTGTTAAAAATTTCTAGTTTGTCTCAATCCACTCCTGCTGCTATAAGATACCCAAGAAATTTATTTCTTATAGTTATGGGGGCTAGAAGCCCAGTAAGCATTGTGCCAGAAGTCTTGGTTTCTGATGAGGGCCCAGTCCTATTTCCACGATGGTGCCTTGCTGCTGCCTCCTTGGAGGGTGTGATGCTGTGTCCTCACATGGCAGAGGAGGTGGGAGGGCAAAAGGGCTTTGCTAGTTCCCTCGAGTGTTTTTGTAAGCCACTAATCACCTCCCAGAGGCCCTACCTCCTAATACCATCATGTTGGTGGTTAAGTTTCAACATGCAAATTTTGGGGGGACACATTCAAACCATAGCATAGTTTAATATCCCCATCACCTAAGATGGCATCAGTGTTGGGTGCCCCAGGTACACACGTGCTCAAGCCTCATTTCACTCTGTAGGCACCTGTGTCTCCAGAATTCAATTTAGTTGCACTCTGTGGGCCCCATTTTCTGATTTTTTTTTTTTAAAGTTGCTAAGTTTCAGTGTAGCTTTTTTCTTGTTGTGGGATTGAAGTGGCATTCTTTCCAGCTGTCCACATCTCTGAACAGAAACCAGAAGCCTTGTCAACTGATTTTTGACAAGGTACAAAGGAAATTCAATGAAGGGTAGGTTTTTCAATAAATAAAAATGGGACAATTGGGCATCTATATACAAACTGTGAACCTCAATACACCCCACAACTTTAAAGAAATTCACTCAAAATGAGTTGTAGACCTAAATATAAAATATGAGCTAATAAAACTTCTATTAAAAACATAGGCAAAAGTCTATGTGTCCTTCGTTTTGGCAATGAACATTTATATAGGACACCAAACGCATGATTAATAGAAGAAAAAAATGTAAACTAGACTTTATCAAAGCTAGCTATTTCACTCTACAAAATACACTGTTATAAGAATAAAAAGAACCTGTACAATGGAAGAAAATATTTCCAACCCACATATTTGACAAAGGTCTTGTATAAAAAAATACGTAAAGGACTCTTAATACTCAATAATAAGAAAATGAAGATCTTGATTTTCAGAATTAGAAAAAGAAACACTTCAGTTAACAAGATATACAGATGACAAGCATATCAAAATATGTTCAACATCTTAGGCATCAGGGAAATGTAATTTAAAACTACAGTGAGATACTAGATACCTGTTAAAAGTCACTAAAGAAAACTAATACCAAGTACAAAGGAGGACGCAGAGCTACAGGAACTCATTCATTGATGATGGGAACACACAATGACAGTCACATTGGAAGTTTGGCAGTTTCTTATAAAGTTAAGCATGCATTTACCATACAACCCAGCAATGCCCCTACTAGGTATTTACTCATGTGAACCAAAAACTTACACCCACACTAACACCCATATGCAAATGGTTATGGTGGGTGTATTCATGATCACCAGAAACTGAAAACAACCCAGATGTCATTCAATGGCTTAATGGATGAACAAACTCTAGTACATCTACTCAGTAATAAAGATGAATAATTAATATACAATTGTACACCAAGTACATCAAGTGAAGAACCTTAAATCCATCTTGCTAAGTCAAAGAAGCTAGACCCCCAAAGACTACTTACTGTATAATTCCATTTATATGATTTTCTGGAAAAGGCAGAACTTTAGGTATGGAAAACAGTGGTTGCCAGGTATTGACATGGGGGAGTGGGCGACTGCAAATGGGCCACCCAAGGGAATTTTTTTTTTTTAAAGAGACAAGATCTCACTATGTTGCTAAGGCTGGACTCGAACTCCTAGGCTCAAGAGATCCTCCCACCTCAGCTTCCCAAGTAGCTGGGACTGTAGGAGTGAACCACTGTGCCTGGCTACAAGGGAATTTTTAGAGAGATAACCTATTAACAACTAGGAGAAACTGAATGAGCATACAGGGACTCTCTGAACTATCTTTGCAATTCTTTGTAAGCAAAATTAATTTTTAAAAAGTTGGAAAACAAAAACAGTAAGTCTTAACTTTGTAACTGATGAGAAATGAAGTATGAGAAATTTTTTCACTGAACAGACTGAATTGTAGGGTGGGGGGAGATCCAGAGGATGGATAGCTTAACTTATACTTTAAAATGTATAGACTACATAGAATGTTAATTGCCCATTTTTAAGAACTCATGATGATTCATGATCTATTTAGAGACTAAGGAAATAAAGAATAAAGTATCCGTCTTTTGAAAAAAGGAATAAAAGTGAACATGAGAACATGGATATTTATTCTATAACCAGAAAACTTTTGCATGAAAAAAAGTAAAATTCTTTACTAATTCTTGTATCGGTTTGCATTTAAAGGTATAGAAGTCTAGGGAACTTAATCCGGTTATCTTGTAAGTGAATAAAATGATTGAGTGCTCTGAAAAAGAAATATTGGGATGTGCTATAACCTGTATATGTTGACAAACGTGTTCATTTTTGTAATCAATGAGTCCCATTCAACTAGCTTAGGTAACACAAAGAGGTTAAATTTCTTTTAAGATTCGAATTGAATGACTCATTCTATGCAGCTTGTTGGACCCCATTCACTGGCTGAGAGAAGGTATTTCTGCCTCTCTGGGATCCTTCCCGATAGGATAACTCCCAATCCTGCAGCCTTTCCTGTCCCAAGTCTTCTAGAAGAGGAAACCAGACACCTGCCCCATCAGGCGAGAAGTGCTTGATTTTCAGCCCTGGTACCTGTCACTGTCAACTGGTCATCTTCCTACCACTCTTGTGCCATTCTTGTTCCCCGATCCACAGTCTAAGTCAGTTGTTCTCAGTAAGCAGTGCCCTGACCAGTAGCACCACCACCACCTGGAAGATCCTTCCGAATGCAAATTCCTGAGCCCCCACCCCCACCCCCGAGCTGCTGAGTCAGAAACTTCCCCGGGGAGCCCAGCACTCTCCATTTTACCAAGCCTCCAGGAACTCAGGATGCACAGCACGATGGAGTCTGAGAACCACCGGTCTCTGGTGGCACACACAAAACATGGAGGGCCCAGAAGTCAGGCCTGAAAGAAAGGCCTGCAGTGGCCAGGGCCCCCCTGCACTGCTGGTCTGCCACTGCACCCTCTGGTTGCTATCAAGGTCAAGTTAACTATGTGGCTCCTGGTAGGCTTGCTCTTGCCATCGGATGTTTTCTATTACAAACACACACACAGACACATACGCACACACGCAGCAATTTCCTCCCGAAGAATGCCAAGGTTGAGGGATCCAGAGGATCTTTAAGATTTAAATTTCAAACCACAGGTTGTGCCTAGAACTCTCCTCTCTCAGCTGCATCATCCCAGTCTCCAAGAATAGACTCAAGAACCCAACCTGAACGCTAAGGTCCACCCCGATTTTCTCTCCCAGACGAGAGACTCCCAGGCCGAAAATTCTCTGGATTACTCTGAAAGTGTATATATACATCTTAAACATTTGTTTTTTTTTATCTTACAACTTAGAGAAATGTCAATAAGAAAATTGGCACTGCTTTTTGGCCACTAAAATGTTACTCTCTGGTGTTGAGAGGTAGCAAGCAACATGGAGATAGCTTTCTGGTTTCATCCTGAAATGCTGAAATTAGAGCACAGCGCATCTCCCGAAACCAGAAAGGCCACATGTGACCTAAGATAGGCCACGTGTGCCTTCGTCACTCATCATCGCTGTGCAGTAAGGGCAAAGCGACTTACCCCAGCAGGTGGCCTCAGTATTTCTAGCCAAAAGCTTTGGGGAACCTGCATGCCTGACCCTCTTATTCTGGGCAAATTGAGTGCACTGAGGCACCCACGTAGGGAAGCTTTCGGGAGCGGCCCTGGCCACCAGCACATATCGCATAATTTGAATGGATGATTTCGCCAGCCTCAGGCCCCAGCCTTCTCCTGTTTTAAGTGAAGCAAACGTGATCGCGTCTTGCACAGCCCAGCACACATCCCTGTGCTAAGTCTAGTCCACGGAACCGTGGGCCACGAAGTCTGGGTTCAACGCCTACCTCTCCACTTGCATTCCCATCCTCAAATCACGCAACCACTCATTCTCCAAGAGTGCCGATGCTTAGTGGCAGGGCCAGGCTGAGGATACATGATGTACAAGAATGTCCTGGGTGAGCAACGAGATGCTACACAGATGTAAAAAGTGATTGTTACTCCTCAAGAGCTGGGAACGTGCCGTCTACATCCCGCCTGTCCCCGTCGCCTGGACATGGCCAGAGCCCACGTACTGTTGACATGCATTAGAGTTCCTCTTGCGATTGGCCTCCCGGGAGACTGGTGCTCTTATGTGAAAGATCTGTGCCTAAATTGCTTCAATAATGCTTGTTGTAGAATTGGTGGCAGTCCATTCACTCGTTTCAGACTCTTAGCTAAAGTGCATTTATTTTTTTCACTCCCACCCACAGCCTAGGACTCTCATAGTGTCCCCTGCATTGGCCATTTGCCGGGGAACTGCCACATAGAAGAGGGCATGACAGGGAAGCTTCCACTTCCTCTGTGCTTGTCTCCTTGTCACCTTCTCCAAGCTGTCCTTAGCTTTCTGGAGCCTAAGAGAACAGAAAAGGTGATTAAACACTTAGAATTACTCTAATCCCCATCCGTCCATTAAATCCCTGTGTCTCTCTCAGGCCACTGAGCAGCTTCTCTGTGCTTCAGTCCTCGAAGATGTGATTAGAGAAAATATCACCAGTAAACATTCTTGGGACCTTGTGAGGTTGAACTTAGAAAATGTAAACCGTTTTACAGATGTCGAGGGCCTGAGGAGGGCTGCCCAAATCAGGCCGGTGGAATTCACAGCATGCCAAATTGAAATTTACCCTCTGAGCATTTTACTTGTACAACAAAAACGCGGTATGTTTTCGCTTTTAAAGAAAAATCTTAATATTCCTTCCTTTTTAATTTTCTCGCAGCTTTTGATCCGTAGGGTAGATTAGACTGTATCTATTTTTGACATTTATAAAATGGAGCTATTTACTTGAAAATTTGTAAGGAGCAAGTAAGGTATATTTATGTAAATATTCAAATATTTGGGTAGCATTTCAAGGAAGGTGCTCGGGATTCAGAGATGGATGAGAAACATCCACTGCGTGGGGACAGTGGTGGTGGAAACCGGTTGTTATGGGCTGGATGTGGTCCTCCAAAATTCATGAGCTGAAGCCCTAACCCCCAGTGTGATGATATTTGGAGGTGGGGCCTTTAGGAGGTAATTAGGCTCAGATGAGGTCATGAGGGTGGGGCCCCCATGATAAGAATAGTGTCTTTATAAGAACGGGAAGAGACCAGAACTCTTTCTCTTCCCTGCCACGTGGAGACACACCAAGAACATGGGTTTTCTGCAAGCCAGGAAGAGAGCCTCCACCAAGAACTCAACCACATTAACACCCTGCTTTGGGACTTCCAGCCTCCAGAACCATGAAAATATAAACATCTGTTTTTTCTTTTTAAGCCACACAGTTTACGATATTTTGTAACAGAGCCAGAGCAAACTAACATACAGTCATATAAAATCCAGTGCATTATGGCATCAGTGTGGCTATATCCCCGCCACAGATAGGTCTGAGTGCAATGGGAACATGGGAAGGAGCAACTTTCCTGGCCAGTGAGGTCACAGGTAGCTTCACCAAGGAGAAAATATTTAAACTGAGACTTGAATTCACTTATTGACTCATATTTATTGAATGTCTACTATTTGTGCACTTGGCACTGTTCTAAGTGGTTGCGATTACAGCAATAGACACACAGATAAAAGTCCCTGTCCTGGAGCAGTTCACTTCTGGAGGATGTGAGTGAAGACATACTGCATTCAATTATGCCAGCAATGAGATGCCCTGGGTCACCTGGTGTTGTCAGGCATCTGAAGGGAATGGTAAGGGGCAAGGCATGAAGGCAGTGAAGAGCTTGATTGGGATGGACCTTATTTCGGGTCCTTATGATTTATTTCCTTGACAACAAATATGCAAAGGTTGTATTTGCTTGGTGTTGTTTAGGTTTATGACGCTAGAAGTATAGCTGCGAGAACTCCTTTCATGCTGAAATTCCTTTGGGAAAAGTAATTTGTATTTTTGCAAGTCTGAAACACTCTGCCAACTCCTTGTTCTTCGCCCAAATCCTTGTTATAAATGTTACAGTTGTGGAGCTCATTAGGAGTGCAGCCATCATCATATTGCAGGATAAATTGTGCTGTGCACATTAATCTATTTTAGGACCAAGTAAGTGAGCTGCATGCTTGTTGTTACATGCCTGTTTCCCTACCAGACTGTGAGCCTCAGAGCAGAGACTGTATTATAAGTTGATCATTGAATTCCAGGCATGAAGCCTGATGCCTGATACATAGTTGCTGATCAACAATTAGCATGCAGTATGAAGGCGTTTGCCATTTCTGTTGCACCTGACAATTATTCATTTCAATATGGTTGCTTAAATATACTGTATGCCAAAAGAGCTTTATAAAAAAAAAAAAAAAAAAAATCACTTTAGGACCACTCTACTTTCAAGAAAATTACATAAAAAATATTTCTGATCTCTGTAGTAGGCTTCATGCTGGAATTCAATGATCAACTTATAAAACAGTCTCTGCTCTGAGGCTCACAGTCTGGTAGGGAAAGGCATGTAACAACAAGCATGCAGCTCACTTACTTGGTCCTAAAATAGATTAATGTGCACAGCACAATTTATCCTGCAATATGATGATGGCTGCCATCCTAATGAGCTCCACAACTGTAACATTTATACACAAGGATTTGGGCGAAGAACAAGGAGTTGACAGAGTGTTCCAGACTTGCAAAAATACAAATTACTTTTCCCAAGGAATTTCAGCATGAAAGGAGTTCTCGCAGCTATACTTCTAGCGTCATAAACCTAAACAACACCAAGCAAATACAACCTTTGCATATTTGTTGTCAAGGAAATAAATCATAAGGACCCGAAATAAGGTCCATCCCAATCAAGCTCTTCACTGCCTTCATGCCTTGCCCCTTACCATTCCCTTCAGATGCCTGACACACCAGGTGACCCAGGGCATCTCATTGCTGGCATAATTGAATGCAGTATGTCTTCACTCACATCCTCCAGAAGTGGAACT